GCTTTATTATGCACTCGTAAAGCGAGTAAAAGTTAGTGCACATAATTACGAAGAAATTAAAAATTCTTAATTAAGCTATGATTTAAGTAAAAGTAGTCGATATAGCAATAGCTATATCGATACTTAAAAATATAGCGTATAGCTTAAAGGTTAATACCGCCCTTATTACTCTCTTTCACTTTTATAACACTTAATAAAGAATATTACCCGTCAAAGTGAACTCGTTCTTATTTACGTAAGCTTTATTGTTAAAGATAGCTACGAAACCGATTTAAGAATTAAGATTAGCGTTGTTAATAAACGCTCCGTTTACGAACACGAAGAGCTTCGCTGTTTTTAAGTCTAAAAGCACGTAATAGATCTTTCGAGTTAAGTGATCGATCAGCTATTAAATCACTTTATTAAAAGCTTTATAATCTTCGTCTTTCGGTTCTTAGTGTTAAGCAACTATCGATAAAGCGCAAGATGCTTTTAAGTAGCAAATAATAATTAAATACGCTTTTCGAATACGTTGCTTTAAGTACTCTTTAGCTCGTGTAGCTGAATCGAGCTTGATTATTATAAGCCTTTTACCTTGCCTTTTTTGCTTAATTAATAGTCCGAACCCGTTTTTATTTAAAGATAGCTTGCATCTATTGAAAATCATCGGTTCGGCGTATATAAAGATCTTTATTTCTTTGCTTTTTAACTTAAATTTAATTAGCTCTTTCTTTTCTTTTGCTTTTATAGCTAGATTAATAATTATAAGAACATCATCCGTTTATAAAGCAGCTATTCTTAGCTGATCTTTATTAATTGATATAAAGAAGCAAAAATTAAAGCTCGATTACTTTATCTTAAAGTTGTCCGTGAAATGCTTTAAAAAACGCTTATACTAATGCGTTCTTGGTTCGAAGATCTTATATAAAAAGCTAATTATAAAGAATAAAGTACCGAAAGAAAATCGATAGATGATCTTTTTAAGTAATCGCACAACGATTATTCGAATAAGCTTCGTGCTTAATTAAGTATAAGCTTAAGTGATATCTTTGTTATAAACTTGATACTCGTAGTCTTTTATTAAAGAAAAAGCTAAAGTATAATAAAGTTTTTAGCCCGCTCGTTGTACTATAAGTGACTCGGTAAGTACTTTCGTCTTGCTTTTATCTTAAAAAGCTTAGACTATTATACGAGACTTTTCGTATAACGTAAGTATTCTTTTGCTTTTAATCTTATTAATAAACTTAAATCTAAAGATCTTAACGCTTTTAGCACGTAGATCGGTGCTCGGAATTACTTAAAAGATGCTTTAAGTTATTAATCTTGCTAATTCTTTTACTTTAAACTTTTAAAACGGTGCTTCGAAGCTTTTAATAATTCTTTCGACTCGTAACTTAGCTAAGAGCTTATAGTTTCGGCGTTCTTTATCGGTAATACACACTTCGAAGTCTTTAGTAAATAAAACGTAAGAATCGCTTTCCTTTTCGTCGAGCACGGTCGAGATGTTAAGATCGTACTTTTAATAAAATATTTAAACTATTAGTATTGTTAATCTTTAAAAATTAATAAATTAAGAGTTAAAAAGGCTGTTTGCTAATCTTAACGAGCTTTTTAAATTAAGCGACTTTAATAGATTAAGCGAATGTTAAAGTGATGTGCAAAA